CGCAGGACAGAGCAAAAGCGGCTTATATATGTATTCTTTGTACTCTTTGCTTTGACTTTTAGAGTTACCTATAAAGCAATTAATATATTTCAGCGTGGCATCCGGACCAGACCAACGCCGATGGAGCAACAACAAGACACAGGCGTAAAAGACCAAAACGTGACAAAAAAGAAGAAATAAAAGACAAGAAGAAGAAGAAGAAGAAAACGCCAAGTAAAACACCTCAGTCTCCTCCATCTCTGTGCTTCCTTTTGTCCGTTCCGTCCATCCAGCCCAGATGACACCTTGTGGAGTAAGGTAGATAGTCGTTTTCAGGGCGGTGGTCGTACCAGTCGTGGTGATCTAGCGGTGATGAAGGTAGGAATAGTAATACAAACATTTTCGCCCCCCATCCCAACCCTGGCTTTTCAGTTCTAATTTCCCTTAGCATTCTTCGTGTTTCCCTTCCTCGTTTACTCCGGCCGCGGCCTCTTTGCTCCGTGGGGATTTCCCCACTCGCCGGCGCCGCCTTGATTACCACCGGCACCGAAGAAGCCGGGGTTGAACTGCGGAGTCATCCCCTGGAAGCCTGCGGGGAGATTTGAAAGTCAGCAAAAACCGAATGACTCTGAGAGGAGAAACGCGACAGCTGTGCGAAAGCAGCTGACGTCAAATGTAGTGAAACAATAAAAGTAAAGAAAAAAGTAAAGAAAGAAAGAAAGAAAGAAAGGGGAGAGACAGAATGGAGCATCCACATACCCTGCATACCTCCACCCATCATGCCCATGGGATTAGGCATGCCTCCCATCGGCATACCGCCCATTGGGCCCATAGGACCCATGGGGCCGCCCATGGCCATTCCGCCCATGTTGCCCATACCGCCACGTCCACCGCGCATGCCTCCAGGGCCACCGCGCATACCGCCGGCGCCGAAGCCGCCACGGTTATTAAAGCCGCCGCCTCCTCCGAAACCTCCTCCACCCATGCCGCCGCCGAAGCCGCCTCCCATGTTATTGAAACCGCCGCCTCCTCCCATGCCGCCACCAGAGAAATTGCGGTTGAAACCGCCGCCACCGGGTTGCATGCCGCCGCGCGGGCCGTAGCCGCCTCGTCCCCGGAAGTTGTTCGGCCGGTAGTCTCCGCCCACGTTGGGACCGCGGTCGTTGTTGAAACCCTGTCCCGGCCGGCTGACCTGGCCATCCTTACCCTGTCGGTTCGAGGTGTCCTTGGGCAGCGTGCGGAAGGGATTCACGTTGGGGTTCGTGTAGGCGACGGTGGGCTTCTTCTGGTTGACCACATGATGCTCAAGCGACTCGATGTAGTGCTTCATCGCCGTGGCCGCTTGCTGTGATGTAAACTCGACGTAGACTTGGCTGTTACCACGAAAAATCGGTCAGCATTACAAAAGCCTTCGCTTATACGGGGTCCCCAAGAGATAGAATAAACGTGTCCCTGGGCTGGTCGGATTGCGTACCCTTTGCTTTTGCCGTTCACCTTATGTTCACTAAACGTCACGTCCTTGAGTTCATCCTCGCAATGCGCCTGGTGTGCATATCCGCGGATATCGTCGTCCGTGGTCCACCAATTCAGTTCGGAGATGGTGATGGCGCTGGTCGCGCCGGGATCAATGGGTCTGTCATCGCCCTTCCGCTTTACGCCTTGCTGCGGCGCAGGCTGTTGTTGCTGATCGTCGTTGTACTCTTCGGATTCGGCCTTCGCCTCCTGCTGGTAGTGTTGTTCGTCGGCATGCTCCTGCTGACCGTTTCCCTGGTGCTCGTCGTGCTGATGTTGGGTGTCTTGCCCGTCCTGGTTGTTCTGCGGCGCATCACCGTAGATGTCGATTTCAAATTCTTCGTCGGCCATGATGCAGTTGAGATAGCTGGTTCGTAGCGGTTGCGAGCTGTCAAGACTTGAAGAAGGATATATGTCCTTTGGAAAATGTGGATTCTGGGCCTGGTAATGGTATCTCCAATCAAGTTGTCATTAGTCTGCGAGATACAGGCGCGGCCTGTAGTTGCCTTTTCTTTCCCTTTTGTTTTGCATTCATGATCAGCCACCGGGAGAAGCACATTGAAGAGGTAAAATAGACCCGAGCGTCTCGCCACGAAACCCGAAAATAACAGTGACAGAAAGGGATGGAGAGCAGAAACAAAGAAGAAAAGAAGAAAAGAAGAAGCATATGATGCATACGTACACTCCTCTTGCCGCAAACAGAACCAATAAGGGTTATGGGAAGAGGTGGAATATTGCCAAATCAGCAAGTCCCTCCTTTCTCGGTGATTCTCTCTGTGCGTATTTTCTTGTCTTCCGTCTCCTCCCTCGTTTGACAATCGCGGAAGAGGAAGCTCTGTGCTTCGATCTCTCTCGTATCAAACCGGTGGTTGGTTTGAATGTCTTGGGTGCGGGCAAGAGGTAAAAATGAACAAGAGAGATGATATGAATAGATACAGGTAAGATGGAATGGGGGGGGGGGTTTTCCCTCGATCGACTCGGTCTGAGCGAGCAAACGGCACAGGCTAAGCCGTGATTCCTATGTCCGGTTATCTGTGTCGGTATTGTTCAACGAGGAGAAATCTAGGAACGCCTCCAGCCAAATCGATCGCGCAGTAGACGTGGTCAACTACTTCTGGGTTCCGAAGTCGGAATGAATGCTCGAACAAGGTGGAAGTGAATCTGCTCGGTCGGCGAGCCACAAAAGCTGTCGTGAAATAGCACCGACTCCTATCAGTCGACCGTTCTCAATAGGAAAAAAAGAAAAAAAGAAGAAAGAAAGGGTTTATCGAATGAGAGTATTCGATATTCAGTTGCTGATGTCGACGTTGGGCGACACCAGGTACGTTGTCGTTGAAGAAAGATGGTGGAAGGGAATCTTGACCGAAGCTGCTCCTCACTCAATCAGTGAGCAGAGCTGAGGTCGCGTTTTGGGTTTATTAGGAGCGCCCGATCCACGAGATCCACAGCAGGCTCGCACGGACCTTCTGACCTTCTGGCTTGCTCCAACCCGGACCCTTGTGGCTGGTAGCTTTGACTGTGGCACTTGATGACAGATTTGTGGCGGTGCACTCATTTTCTGGCGATGCGAACACATCTCCCATTCAGCTTCCCACCCCCAGTCGCATAATTGACTTGACCTGCTGGCCATCCAAATACGATACCAACCCAACGCCAATACAAGCCCATCCATTGCCCTTCTGGAATCCTACCTTTCTCGATACATTCAACGATTTATTTACCTTGTCGTCGATAAACACCACGTAATTCCCGAGCACAATGGCCGACTCCATCAAGGAAATCCTCGAGATCCCCACGGAGTTCGCCCAGGATGGCATCCAATTCATGAGGAGGTGCACCAAGCGTGAGTTCCCTGCCACATCCCTTCAATCTTTTTTACCATAATTGGTCATCGCTTCTAACATTTTATCCAGCCGATCGCGCCGAGTACCAAAGGCTGGTACAGGCTGTTGGTGTCGGTTTTCTGGTTATGGGCGCTGTCGGTAGGTCGTCTGGACCCCTTTCTGTTCCTTTTCCCTTGTGAAAAGGACTTCCCCTGGAGAGGACTTTGTATTCTGACGCCACACAGGTTACGTCGTCAGGCTCATTCACTACCCTGTCAATAACATCCTCGTCGGTGGCGCGTAAAGCTGGTGTTGATACGCGGTTTTGCATTGAACGGGGCTTCCCCCCACCTGAGAAGGGCATCACCATCCCAGATTACGAAGAAGAAAAAAAACCCCATTGAACATACACTACGAGAGGGATATTCATGCGAAGACGGTTTGAGGGCAGCATGGGGAGGGTGCCTGGGTCAATTGCAGTGGTCCCGGCATGGTCTCTCTGAGGGTGCCAAGGATCACGCCAGGGGGAGAATGATGTCCTATTCCGTGAGATGGGACTTCGCCCGGCCGGGCTTGGTGTTCCGAGCGAGCGGGTATCCACGTCATACCATTTGGGGATCTTTTCTGTATCAATAGCTCCGGGAAAAGAAGATCATTTCCGAGATTTTTTTTTTTTAAATCAACTGCTCAGTTTTCCGCGTTGAGCACTCTGTGCGGACACGACTGACTGACTACCTGACTACGTCTCGGAACAGGTCAGGATTCGGCTTTAAATGTTCGTCCACGCTTCTCCCCATCCTAGGCTCCGCCTCGTCCTCGCCCGCCTCGTTATAAGCGTGCAGTGTGCAGGTTCCGGATGTTGCGTTCAAACCGTTCCAGGCAGACGCTGTGGAGGAAGCCGCAGAGGGCCCTTGGTTAGCGAATAAAGGTGCACCGGAACTGGAAAAGGATGAAGCGTGAGAGACAGAGGGAAAACGTACCAACAAGGAGCGGCGCGTTGGGGTGCCAACTGGCATCGCGCACGCATGCCCTCCAACCAGGATGATCGTCATCGTCGACGTACATGGGATGTCCGCGGCGGACCGGGCGCCGGCTATTCTTGGTGGCCTTTTTCACGTCGATGACCCCGGCCACCGTAGCATCGAGGTTGTACACCCAGACTTTCCCGTCTTGGCTTCCTGTGTACACGTAGCGCGAGTTGGTGCTCGATGGCGGCGAAAAGTGGCACCGGATCAGGGTCCGTAGGACCTTGTGTCCGCGGAAGGTGACGACCGAGTTGTCGCCGCATGGGTGCGGGGACCAGTCTTCGTCGCGATAGGTACCCCACCTATAGTCGAAGTCGCGGTCCTCCGTGTACTGCGTGGGGTTCAACTCGCGATAGCGGTCGGGAGACATGACCATTCTCAGGTCCCACAGCTTCATCGTTTGGTCCTTGCTGTTGCTCAGGATATACCGGCCGTCTCCTTTGCTGTCGATATACGTTAATCCCTCTACGTGGCCAATGAAAGCCCCTGCTTCCCGGCCGTCTGCCATGCTCCGGCGATCCCAGACCTTGATCGTGGTATCGTCCGAGCCCGAATAGAGGATATGGGGACTTGACTTGTCGGCGAAGCACACGGCGTTGACGTCGTCTGAGTGACCGTTCACGGAGTGCAAGACCGTCCGGGACTCGATATCATACACGATGATACGATGGGTGTTGGTACCAGCAACCAGTTCCCTGCCATCGCCGGAGAAGCGAACAGACCAGATGCCGAAGTTGTCCCACGAGCGCCAACCCAACGTTTGGCCTCTGGCAGCCCTGTCTGAGAGGTTGAGGGTGTACGGGTCTCCCGTGTCGTTTGGATCTGTGGGAGCGAGACACACGTTGCTCTGAATGGAGGTGTAGGCCAGCCACTTGTTGTCGGGGCTCAAGGATGCGTCTGTCAGAGTCCACTGGCCAAAGGGATAGTGTACCGTCTTGTAGTACTTCCATTCGTAAGGGTTCGAGGTGTCGTACATGCGGACCTGGAAATCGTGACCGCAGGAGTAGAAGAAATTGCCGTCGTCGGAAAACTGTCCCGAGTAGACGGGATCTTCGTAGTGGATGATCATCTCGGGGTGACTGGAGGGGATCATATCCTGGGCCATGAGATCCTGGTTCCGTTGACGGTCTACCCCCGAGTAGACGCCCAGTTCCCTGTCTAGCATTCGCCGCGCCAGCTGTTTCCTCTTCTCTAACCGAAAGTTGTTGGCGCCAAACAGGCCAGAGTGCATCAGCTCGGTTCCCTTCTCGCTGGGGACTTTGGGGAAGCGGTCAGGATCGGGCGGGGACCGCCGCCTTCGTCCCCAAGCCACACCGCGACTATCCTCGAATATCACGTCTCCTAAGTTATTGCTCCTCAGTAGAGCCAGAAGCTGTGCGCGAGATAGCCACCCATCGCCAGCCCCAGCTAATCAAAATCACTTCCTGTCAGCAGAGTCCCTCTGTAAAGGGCTAAGGGTCCTTGAGCAGAATCCTATGTGCTTCGTTGGGCCGCCCGCGGGGGGAGCGGGGGGGGGACCTAGAATGTTATTCACGACAGCGGCTGTTTCATTATCATCATCATCATCATCGTCGTCGTATTCATCCTCGTCGTCGTCAACTTGATCCTCTTCATTTCCATCGAAGTCAGCGAGGTCATGCTCGTCTTCGCTCTCTGCTCCATGCTGATGGCCAAAATGTTCCCCGATCAACACCTGGAGCGGGAGAATGTTGTAGTCTCCCTCTTCGGCGTCTAACACATATCAGGCATAAAGGTACAGGACAATATAAATAGAATAAGGTAAATGGGCCTGACAGCGCATACCGTAGTACTCAGCAGCATCGTCACCCTCTTCCTCGTCGTCCGGGACATCCTCAAAATCAGGATCGTCTTCGGCGTCGTCGTTGTCATGGCCGTCCAAGCTGGGGCGGTCAGGTTCATTCTGTCCCGTTTGCTCCAGATACCATTGCCCCAGCACGTCGTCAACCTCTCGAGAGTCCATTATGTGCTCGCCGATAAGGCAAAGCGTCTTGAAGCTCGGCGGTATCGAGATCCTGGGGGTAGAGATACCGTTCGAAGTGTATAGTGCACAAGGGACAACTGAGACGTGAGACCCCTTTTTAAAAGGTCAACATACTCGATACAGAAGCTATCTCAAAAGAGATCCGTCTTAGGAGAAGAGTACCTTAAGTGGTATGAGGGTCAGGTACGTTGAAACGGTCCGGTTTGGTCCGGTCTGGTCCGGGGGTGACGACATGTACAAAGGTGGGGAACTATCACCCGGAGATAAGATAAGCCAAATTCCGACACCCTATAGAGCACGTGACTCAGGGGCGATTACCTAATAAGCCGTAGATCAGGGCAGATTACTTCATTCAACTTCATGACAGGTGAATCTGGAGATTCAGCCATGAACTCTAGAGCCTGAAAAGTCCTTTCCATAAGAGACGCAATTCCTCATTATAAGATTCGATCTCGACAATGGCTTACCAACGGGATCCGTTCTATATTTCCCACAGCGCCAGGCCGGCCAGAAAACGGCTCCTCTCCGACAGTAGTCAACTTTGAGTACCTATACAGCTCCTGCAACTGGTGGTACTCAGGTCCTTTGGTATTATAAAAGAAACTGCTCTGCAAAATCACGACCGTCTTTTCTACGTCTTTTCTTCTTCGGTAGGTTCGCTACCGTGCCATAGGCTGGGGCATATGATCCCAGGCCAGCAGTTCTATCTCGGCCTCGGTCTGGTGGTCGGGTAAGCGGGGGTCGGAGTAGGACCGGTGGGGACCATTGAACAGGGATGATGCGAGTCGCCAGATTCTGGCTAAGATAAATTGCGAGGCGGAGACGTTAGAGAGTGACATATCCCCGGACAGCCGAGGTAAGTCCCCAAAGCACCACGCGCTGGCGTATGCCCGTCTGTGATAATGTATACATTTGACATTGTCAGATCATATAAGTAGAGTCGAGACGCTTTTTACACCTATAATAATCAGTAGTCCGTATATCATTTCGGTCTCACCCGAAGCCTGAGTAGGCTTTTCGCCTGTTACTACTCTCACTCCTATTACCTGGTGCTTTATATCATTATCGTCCAAGCTGGCCGGTCTGTCATTTTCAAACCAACCGGAGCAGTTACAATGGTCCAACCCCGTCTCCCCAGCGAGGACGTGTCGCATTTCCTATCCATACCGTGGTGTGCCGCTCTCCTCGCCCAGCCAGACGTCCACACTTTCGTGCCTACATCCCGGTTGCCCGAGGATGACGCGCGGCATTCCCCGAGCCGAGATCAGCTCTTCTCGAAAACTCTCCGCGATGCCGACGCCGTGCCGCACTGCATCGGCTTCTACAAAGTGCCGTCTCCGGACGCCTCTCCAAACGCCACCCCCCACTCAGCCCCGATCACCGCGGCCTCACAAGCGGCGGACCCCGCTTTCTTGGTCCGATCATGCTCCCTCCTCTTCGACCTACGGCCCGGCGTGATCGGGTTCGCCGGGTCCGTCCACGGCGGTCTCATCGCCTCGCTGATAGACGAAGCCATGGGGAATTTGTTCCTCGCCAATCATTACGCCCAGGGGTGTGAAATGGAGGCAAACAGGCCTTTACCGCCCGGGACTATAGATGTGGATAACGCCCGGTTTCTCACGGCGAACATGACGGTTCGCTTTCAAAGGCCTTTGCCCGCTCCCAAGGTTGTCGTGGTGACGTCGTCACTCGACAGGATAGAGGGCAGGAAGTTGTTTCTAGCCGTGACGATTACGGATGAACATCTTGTCGAGTTTGCCAAATGTGAAGGGATGTGGATGACGGTGCCGCGAGAGAGGATGTAGTAAGACTCGTTAGGTTGAAGTTGTTCTTTTGGCATGTATTATATCTGGTACGTTGAAAGAAGGGGGAACTTTGTCAGGGAGGGGAGGTGCAGTCGATGCGCAAGAGGCCGGAGCCCTACGTCTGGCCATTGCCGTTGGGGAATTGCCCGCTCCTTCATTGTATGCCTGCGGAGAAGGGGTCAACGATGATTAAGTTGTCTCAAGGTGAGTAGGCCAATCCAGTTCTCCTTCAAGCATACTATGAAACCTGCGCACAGCCTAGAACTCCGTTTTCTCCGACTCTTGCTACACAAACACTATTAAAACCCGTACGCCTTGGCCTTGCAACAGACGGAATGGATGGAAGGGATATCCATTTCTTTCGGACTGATTGTCCCCTTCCGCTTAATCTGCCTTCTTAGCTGTCTCCCGCAAATTCGGTGCTGTTCCATCCGTCATCGACGTGTCCTTGGTTTCCATATCGGCTGCCCACAGGGCCGCACCAACTGTGATGGATATTAGCGGAGAGTGAATGACGGATGGACTCTTCATCGGATGGCACTCGGACTAACCTGTATTGCTGAAGGAGAAGAACATGGAGGCGAAGGGAATCATCTCGAGGCCCGTTGCAACGAGGCCGAAACTGCGAGAGCTGAGGTAAGCAGGTGCAATTACACACCACAGCCGTGTATGTAGGGGTGGACTCCAGGTAGTTGGAAGAAGGGCGAGACTTACGCTGTGTAAGGCCCAGAATGACGCTTGAGCCAATCTTGGCTTTGAGATGCCGACCACTTCTTCAATTGAAAGTACTAGACGTAAAACCCGGTCAGACAAGATACGCCTCTAAAGAAAGGGGGCACTCGAGAGGTGAGAAAGGTCATACTCGGCCGTGAACGTGTTGACCCCTTGCTCGTGCTTGGATGAGAACGAACAAAGCGGAACCGACGAGAGGGATGAAGTTAAGAGGTAAGTACATGACGTAGCGGATGAGGGCCTTTGGAGAGAAGCGTTCGAAAGGGCTCTTAAGAATGCGGCCTAGCTTCTGCATAGGGTCTGTGCCTGGCTGAAGCTGACGACCTTCACGAACGATAGAGTCGGCGTTCTTTGAAACGAGGGTCCCGTCAAATGTGTCGAGAAGGGCGTCTTGAAGCAACCAATTGCGGGAGATCACGTTGATCAAGGTGGCGCTCTCGTTCAGCACCAGGAGGACGGTGGTGAAGACAGCCAAAGGGCCGTTGAACAAGACGAGGACCGTCAATTGTGGGACATAAGTAAAGGCAAACATGCCGGTAGTGACGCCGACAGACAAGAGGAAGTAAGGGCCGATGCATGAGAGGAAAGGCCCCCAGAGCGACTTGTTCGTGGCAAAGTAGGCAATACCCTGTGAACGGCGAACAGTTAAACCCGTCAGCTAAGAACCGTGGGTCGTAATACTTCGTATAAACGAACTGATGAGAGGCGAAACTAGTGTTGATGACCATACCTTGATGGGGTATAGGTAGGCTTTGCTCTTCGCTGCATTACCAACCAAGGCGCGGGCTTGTTGATAATCCTCTTGGCTGTGATGGGCAAGGTCAGCCTCAACTCTCGCACTTGCAGTACCACAGCTAAAGAGGACTGAATACGGGTGGGCAGTGAAGACTGGGGCATACAGAATTTCTTGAGCTTTAGACTGAACCGATCGTGCAACTCCACCCTGGTCCTTAGCAGAGGAAGAGGAGGAAGGTGAGCCCTGATCCATGGGCTGCTGGACTTGGTCTGCCATTTCGGGAAGCACTGCGAGTCTTCAGTGAACTGATGGACTGTCCTGCGAGACGAGAATTGTTGCAAAGACAATTGATTCAGTGCCGACAGGTTTGATGATGTTGTTAGGTTTGCCAGGTAAACTTAGAGGTTTACTCCGAGGAAGGGGAATAAATTCTAGCTACCTTACATTATATAGGTAGGTATGGCAAGAAGACCATGGGAGAAAGGGACGGGGCTTCAACTGAAGTATCCCTACGGCATTCACTCCAGGGTTCGATGACGTCAAGGAGACGGCATGCACAGGGGATGGATGTGGCTGCATTCATCTAGGTACGAAGTGTGGCTTGGTCATTTAGTGGCTAGTTAGGTACTCCCGTGGGCCCACTCTCTTACAGTGGAGACTCGCACAGTCACCTTCGGAGCTCACATGTCCGCCTGTCGTCTCAAATCAAAGTTTCAACTTGACGTCGAAAAGATCATGCGTCATGAACATATATATTCTCCCTTCCACCTTTTCTCATGAGATCTCATCAAAAGACGAAAGGTAGTTAACCAACTCGCACGCACATGTTTAGTATTATGCGCAGCATGGCCAACCCATCAAGTTCTCTCTCAATCCCCCTTATGACCTGAATTCAGCTCATACGGAACGCTCGTCGGCCGCCGTCTTATTGATTAGAATGTCAACACGGCAGCGGCAGAGAGCAAAAGAGTGGCATTTCAGAACTAATATCCTCCTCCTGGAATGTTCAGCCGAGCCCGACGGGACGGGCACCATACAACCCATCTAAATCAACCAGGACCTCATCCAGCTCAGCTCAGTTCAACGCACTACCTTGATTCTCGATTATCTATCGTCACCGTCAGCAATGGAGCAGAGACACATTCCCAACGATTTTTCTTCCCTTCTCACCTTATCTTCCGAGCCCGAGCAGCTCCTCTTGACGTCTCTTCAACGCATTCTCAACACCTCCCCGCCTCAATCTACCTACACGAAGTCCCAGCTCCATGGCCTTTTCACCGGCCACACCGGCATCGCCTATCTCTTCCTTCACATATCCAGCTCACTCCCTCAGCTCCGTATTCACGGCTACCCGGCTATTCATTGGGCTCGTGCCTACATTTCTGGCGACAGGGGTCGCCTTGCCCTTGAGCCCGGCAACTGTGGGCTGGCCTGCGAGCGCCTCGCCCACCCAGCCGTGCGCGCTTGTATCACCAAGGATCTGAAAGACGTCCGAGACTTCCTCGCCCCTTTTCCCGACATCATTGGGCCTTTGCCGAGGCACACCGCCACTCGCCCGACCTCATCGTCGTCATCCTCCACGGCACATGAAAGGAGGTCCGAGTCAATCGACTCTGACCTCGGACACCATCACGGCCCAAGTCGGGGAGCCCACAGCAGCAGTAGCAGCACCAGCACAGGGAAGCAAGGAGGGGAATCGGACCCATTCCCTTCCGAGCTCGTCTACGGACGAGCAGGTGCTCTCTACCTTCTCCGCCTCGTCCGCCATTGGGTTCCCACCTCAGCCCCGCTCGTCGAACGCTACGTCGTCCACCTAACCGACCGCATCCTCGCCACCGACGACGGCGGCGCCGGCAACTGGCTCTGGTCAGGTACCCACTACCTCGGTGCCGCCCACGGCGACATCGGAATCCTCACCCAGCTCGTCCTCACCACCCCTCCGCTCGCCCCGCGCCTAACCCACCGCCTGGAGCGTCTGCTCGACCTGCAGTTCGAAGACGGCAACTGGCCCTCCTCCGTGCAACCGCCGCCGCCGCCAGGCGCTGGGACTACCGTAAAGAAGAAGAAAAAAGAGCTGGTGCAGTGGTGCCATGGTGCCCCCGGCTTCGTCTTGTCGCTTCTCTCCCTACGACCTTTCTTCCCGTCTTTGAAGCACAGGATCGACGCCGCCATCGAAAAGGGCAGGGCCATCACTTGGGACCACGGGTTGTTGCGCAAGGAACCGAGCCTCTGCCACGGTATTTTAGGTAACGCGCTGTACGTCGCTTGGCCCATCAAACGTTCTCTTCCCTTTCTCTTCCTTGTCATAATCGCGCCGGCCAGATACACTCGGAGAGCCTTGTCCGTGGAGGGGCCGGGCTGCGGTAATGATTGCACGCATGCTGACAGGCACTAGCATCTTCCCGCCTGGCCCAGAAAGAGAACACTTCCTCGCCCTCGCAACGCCAGACAAGGTAACTGAGGCCCGCCGCGCCGACCCGTCCATCTTCCGTCCCGCCTCGTACGGCAAGGACACCATGCTCCTCATGAACTACGACCCCAGTGCCGCCTGGACCGGGCTGGTGTGCGAGAGGAAGCTGCCTAAGATGATCCTATACAACGACATCTAAATCTCGGATGCCCTCTCCTCTAAGTTTTCCTTTCTCGTCTCCTTTATCCATATTGGTAATGCCACCGGGACATGCACGTCTGGAGCAAGCACTGCAGGCCTAGGTACAAGTTCAGAATGGCTCCCATGTGAAGACGCAGAACATCCTCAGGACGACGACGGTGCTGTAAATAGTATTCGGCGCCGAAGGGGAGCACTAAGCTCCAACTAGTCTGATGATCTGATGATCCCCAACTTTGCTTCACATCGGGTGTAAGCGGGATCAATATTGTCGTACAGCAGAACCATTACTGTCGACACATGCAATTACACCCGAGTCCAAATATACAGGAAGGATTCCACTCTGCATGGCGCAATATGAGTGACAACAGAGTTGCAATCGGCGAACATGTTGGGCAAGTAAAAATGCTTGTTCGAGGATCCGCCTCTTCTAGCTCAAGTCGAATGACGACGGCTGACATGATCATATAACTTCATGCTATCTCTTTCAATATGCCTCTGAATTTCCGTGCATTCATTAAGAGGTGTCCTCTGTCTACCGCCGCTTTCCGAACTGTTGATCAAAGTGGACATCACGAAGCGTACCCATGGTGTGTCAAGACACAGGCGCAATGCACCACGCCAGGTGCGCAACCATCTCCGCACTCTAGCAAACCCAGAAGAGTTCAAACGAAGATAAACCAACTGGTCCTCGCTGAGCTGTTCTAGCCATATGCACCCCTTCCTGCCCAATGCCCGGGCCCAAAGGAAAGAGAGAAGAAAGAAGAAACAAAAAGACCTTACTCCTCCATGTATACGCCCCGTACCAATATGAGACGGTAATATTTCAAATGCAAAGGGCTCGTAACATGCCAAACAACCAAACCAACTTAGAACTCCAGGCTACGTATGAAGAATTCGGGAAACCCATCCCAGGCCATCGATCAGTCACCGGTCCCGACCTTGTCGCGACGATTCGCCGGAAGGTGTCGTAGTGCCGAAGTTGGTCGCCAACCTCCCGAGCCAGGCTTCTGCGCGGGTGAGTCGTCTCTGAGGGGTCGGGGCGTATATTCCATGCTCGAGATCATCATCTTCCAGTCTAGATCCCGAAGGCTCGCCCTCGTCTTCAGCTTCCGTTTCTCCCTCGCTTTCACTCTCATCCTCGCTATCATCGTCACGGTAGGGTTCGTATCTCGGACTTGAGGTGGAACCTCTCGCAAGAGACCGCACTACGTCTCCCTTGCAGATGGGACAGGTTCGGCGCCGAGTGGTGAGCCAAGGGGTGCTGGGACTGTGTTAGCGGCTTTGAAACTACTATATAACCAACACCAGACGAGGGGGGAAAACTGACATGCACTCCGCGTGGAACTCATGGCCGCAGGGAAGGCTCATGACCCGGCTAACCCCATCAATATATTCTTCCAGACAAACGACACATTCCACTTGTCGGCTCATGTATTTCTTCCATTCGCTGGATATGCTTCCCAAGGCCTTTTCTCGCTCAGACCGACGGGTCGACCCAGCTGTTTGAGGCTCCAGCGTCTTGATCAAGCGGCGGTCGGCCTCCGGGACACCGGTAGAAGTTGTTGAGCGGGGCCTTGAGACAGCGAGGGTCTCCTGCAGGAGCGGGGTTGTGGGTGAATCGCTAAGTGGCGACGGGACCCTAGGCGTCTGAAGCGGTGACGGTGACACGGTTTGGTAGGTGCGCACTGGAAGACGGTCAATGACAGACTTGGGAGCCCGCCACCGTCGACGACGGATTCGTGCTCGAACAAGTAGTAGGCCGTAGACTATTGTCAGAGTGATGAGGGGACTAATCACCAGCACCAAGAGTGTATCGAAAAAAGGGTTGCCGTTGGTGGAGGGTGTGATGGTGACCCAGAGGCCGTCGTGGCGAATTGGTGGGTTGTTCACAGGTCGCTTCTCAGAATGATTGTCTCCAAGCCCTCGCATCCAGCCTGATTTATCGCCGCCCTTTGAAAGGCCGGCAGCTTGCAATACTCCCAGGGTAGAATGCCCATCATCGTCTGTTATTCGTTCGGCGAAGCTTCCAGGCTGTGTAAGCGACGCAAGGAGATGGGCCGTGGTCCGAGAAGTAAAGACCGAGGGGATGGACACGTTTGATGTATCCCCTCTGGCGTACATCTGGATGAGGGGTCGTCCTTTTTGGTTATCTCCCACGATGAGGGCCGTGGCGCCACGACGTTGCGCCCACAGGACTTTTTCGTAAAAGCCGCAGCCACCGCGGCTCAGAAGCACAGTCTTACCAGCAAACTCTTGCGATGCCCCTAGGGTGTCGGTATCGGTCCTGCGGGAGACAACTTCGTTATGTATATGGTCGTCGGTCCCATCGGAGGCCGGATCGCGGCGAAGATGCCTTTCCGTATTGGCAGAGTGCCGTGGTGGTACCCCCCGAGAACCAGGAATCTTGGACGGCAGGAGCGAGCCGCGGCCATCCTCCCAGCCCGGTATATCACTGCAGCCGAGTTCCCCTTCTCCCTGGTCTTCCTTCAAATTGTCATCGGTGAAGGTGCTTCCGACCCATAGTTGGGCGCTAAGACCCTTGGCGGGAAGTCTGGGCCCAAAAGCGGCTGGTTGGGCGGGAAACGACGTGCTGTTGTCGTCGGTAAGGCTAATTACAGCATTTGGGCTGAAAAGCGAGAGGCCCGAGTTGAAGAAAAGGGCGCGGAGGCGAGAGGAGCGGGCGGGTGAGGAGGCGTCGTTTGTCGACGAGGTGGACGGTGTCGCTTTGATTGGTACCACAGAGTTCGTGACAAGGGGCTCGAGGCCAGACACGACGGTGATGAACCGGCATAGAAGGAAAAGGCACGCGACGAGAAATAAAATGAGGATAAGGAGCCTCGGGGTGCGCATGGTGCTCGGTGAAAGAAAACAGGCGCTGGAGTATGGGTTGTTCGGGTCGATCTACATTTAAGACTCGCAGTGTTGGTGCTGCCAGGACTGATAAACCCGTAGGGGGCTGCCAAGTCAGAATACCGCTCGTCTGACAGCAAGACGTAAAGTAGGGAGGCGAGCGAAGGAGACCGTTTGTGAATCGTCAGTCGTAACGTAGGCGCAAGGTAGGTAGTAGGTATGTAGGTAGGTAACTAGTCGGCAAGGAGAGAGAGAGAGAGAGAGAGGAGAAGCCAGCCGCCGATCAGCTAACCGGTACGTAACGTGGGACGCAGGTAATTCATTCGTTGAAGTCACATGGAGAAACAGCTAAACAGCGGGGTAGATATTACCCTTCCATAGATGGAAAATTTGGGGAATTGGAGCAGCGTGGCTCGAGGCTGGATATAGGAGAACCCGAATAATGAGAAGGAGAGTCGCGAGAAGGCTAAAGGAGAGGGAGAGGAGAGAAAAGGAGTCATTCCTTGTACTAGGACAAGGTCAGGGCGAGAGGAACAAAGGCGGGGAGAGTTGCCGATGACAGTGAACTGCACCTGCTCTATGATGGAGCTGGATCGGTCTGGGATCATTCTGGGATCATTCTGGGCCCATTCTCTTTTCTGTTCGAAGTGAGGTACCTACGGTGCATACCTTACCTAGGTAAGGTACCTGTCGCATGGGCACAGGACCAGTGACGGTCTTTTCCTGTCCAATAAGCGGTCTTTTAATAGTGCCAGACAAGTGATGCCGTCATCGCCTGATACAGTGCCTTATTAGGTAAAGTACCTACCTAGGCACTTGATACCCCATAAGCCCACAACCTACAATCGGCGAGAGTGCGTACATCGGAGCACAATCGGTACTCCGTACCTTAGTTACTTCGAAAGTCGGCGCTGGGCTTCCAGGTCTGGAGGTGCGGAGGTTGGGGCAATGTCACACGACCCTCCAAATCCCCACCGCTATAGCCTCGTGCTTCGTGCAGGTTGACAAGTCCGTACTTTGAAGAAAGTTGCTGTTCTCAGAAACTTCAGAAATGGTATTTGAAAGGACACCACAGCTGGTCTCACCTAATTTCACTTGCCTGTCCCTTACTTACCACACGTAATTATTAGGTGCTGTAGGGCGGACCCCGGGGTACACTACCTACCTTACCTACCCGGGTAGGGGGGGGGGGGTCTGGATAGTGTGCTGGTTAGACTGTTGATAGAATGACCAGCGTGGTCAGTTACGCATTTCAATATATTAATACTATTATATCTAAGATTTAGCCTGTCTAGGCACCTTACTATTTTAGTTAGTTATTATATAGTAATATTCCTCCTATTACGGTAGTTAGTATAAGAACGAGAAAACGGTGACTAGAGTAGGCTAGCATGATAGACTGGTTAGTCTATTAGATCCTGGATAGTATATTATGTCGAATAGTATATCCTAGCGTGATTATTATATCTACACTATTATTCTACTAATTTTAATATCGTGAACGAAATATTACTCTAACGACTAATTACTAGACTATCCGCTATAATAGCCTAGTTATAATACTTACCCTAACTAGCTAACTATAATAACTAGCGATAGTTATACTAACCTAATTAATAGGATATTATAAAGGCATAATAACTAATTATTTATACTATTAAGATTCTCTATACTAGGTAGTATTATAGCGATAGGTACTTAGGTACTTAATATAATAGAATACGGCAGGTATTTAATTAATAAATTTCGAATCTTAAACTAAATATATAACTATATTATCGACTATATCGTGTCCTTTTAATTATTAATCCTCACTATCGTATCTCTATTACCTATTATCCCTAAGGTTAGGTGGTTAGTAAAAGTTATACCGGTCGGGTCTAGATACTATGCTATATTCGTTAAAATAACTTAAACTATAACCTACTTCCTAGTCTAAGTTAGTAAAGCCGTGAATTCCGATATCTTCTAGGTTATATAAGGTACCTACCTTACCTTAGTTAAGGCATTCTTCGCTATACCTAGACTACCTAAAGGTAATAGGAAGTAAAGCGTTATATAGGTATAGAGAGGAATCTAGGATAGCAGAATATCGGAGTTATAGGTAGAATACTACTTATCTATATTATAGTAGTACCTAGATATAACTCTAAAGTATTAGTTAATATAATATTTCTTTTTATAACTCTAAAGTATTAGTTAATATAATATTTCTTTTTATAACTCTAAAGTATTACTTAATATAATATTAAAGAAATATCTAGGAAAAGTCTAAGTAACTTATAGTTCTGCTATCCGCTAGGCCTTAATATAGAAGAGTAGTAAGTATTATAAACTACTAAAGGATATATATTTAAGTTAGTAAGTATAAGCAGTAACAGGGATTTAGCTTTTATACTATCTTCTATCGGGCAGAATTATATAGTGAAACTTCCAGGTTAGATATTATCGAGCGCGGGTAAGGAGAGTAGAAATTAATCGGCTTACTAGAAAGCTAAAGTAACGTAAAGGAGTGTCTAGGTAGTAAGGACTAATAGTATACCACACCGCGCTTAACGCTTCGACTATTATTTTTTCACTAGTTAGCGAGTGAATTTAAAGCTATCGCTAGTTAAATTCTATTATATTTTATATATATATTATAACTAAGGTAGGTCTTAAGGGACGCTAGTAAGACATTATTAGCAGACTAGAAGCCCGTTAATATACTCGAGCGGCGTACTACCTCGTCCTCCTCTAATACCTATAAGTAGTAGTAAAGCTCTAGCTATCTATAATAAGCTAGCAGGATACTATTAGTAGGCTAAAAGCCTACTAAAGCACTCGAGCGGTAGTCGGTAGTAAAAGCTTAGAAGCTATCTATAATAAAGCTAGTAAGATACTATTAGTAGACTAAAAGTCTGCTAACGCACTCTAACGGTAGCCGGTAGTAAAAGTTTAGAAGCTAGTAAGATAATATTAGAGGGTGGCTAGCCTACTAACACGCTTAAGCAGTAACCTTATTTCCCTATAGCATTTATTAGGAGAACCGTTATGTGAAAATTTAGTATTAGGCCAGACAATAATAGTATAATTCGTATAATAGATAGATAGTCTAGAGATAATAGATAGATAGTCTAGAGTAGTCTAAAGTATAATAGAAAGATAGTATAGTGCGTGTGGTGGAGAGATTAGAGTGGTTATTTTTACTAGGAGATTACCTAGGTAAATTATAAGGATAGGAGTATAAAGGATAATTAGGCGGGGGAAAAAAGCTAAAATTCTATTCGGATAGGTGACGTTATAACTAAGCGTGATCGCGTTTACCTAGGTACCCTCGGGGTATCTAAGCTTTAATTTCACGGATATAATAATAATCCGATAGCTAGTAAAAGAAAAAGGAAAATATCTCCTAATATTTCTATAAATTTATAGTATAAGATATTTAATATAAGGTAGTATTCACGATTTACGAGTTATATCACGAGTAACAAATCGCCGAAATACTAAGGGAGCTTTTAATAATTAAAATAGTCCTATTCTTAGACGATATATATATTATAAGGGTAATAAAGAAAGGATTTATCTACTCTCTATATGATCTATTCCCTATCTTCCCGTAATAACGGTAAACCGACGATAATCCTATCCTTAGTCAGGGAATATATCGGGCATTTTAGGATTAAATCTTCGGTTATAGGGCCTATCGTGATCGTAATAATAAAAATACTCGGAAAGTGGCGGTAAATCTATATACGAAGATACTATCGATCCGTACTAGCTACTTATCTCGGACACGAATGAAGTTATTAACCGAGAAGCAGTAAACCTACCGGTCCTTAGTTATAAAGCTGATTTTAGAGAACTATCTTAGGGCGTCACGACTTCTATATATAAGATTTCTAAGGTTATAATCTTCCTCGTATACTTAAGATAATAGTATATTAAACTCGCTAGAGTCTAGTTACTAGTTCGGGAAAAGCATCGATAGAAGGTAACACGTCTAGCTTCGGACTTTTCTTTGCTATATAGTCCTAAAGCATTGAGGCTTAAGGTGTAATAGATCTACCACGATATTAAATATAGGTATATCGTTTTCTTCCTTATTAGGGGCGCCGATCTATATCTTATTATCGATCCTAGAAGTAAGTATAGTATAGTTAGTTCGGAAACGTATAAACGCAGAGTATACTTTCGGATAGTTAAACTCGAAGGAACCGGATAGGCTAAGACGGGTAGTCTTTCTTAAATGCTTACGATATATCAGAACTAAGGCAGCGTTCCTATAGTTTATTTTCGTGATATCGCTCTTATACTCTTTATATTTATCTTCTCTAAGGAAGGCAAAAACTCGACGGCATAAGCTATACTGCTTTTACACGTCCTAGAGGTATAACCCGATATAAATATTCGGAAGACCTCTTATTCTTTAGTAGGTAACTATCTTAGCCGATACCGGGAGTCTTTAGATATTTAATACCGAGTCCTCTAGGATAGTGAAATTAGAGATTCTAGTTACTCCGCTAGCTTACGATGTATTATCGGGTATTCTAGTTCGTAAAATTATACTATCTATAATATTACGATATTAATATTTAAACTAAACACGTATATATATTTATAAGGATACCGTATATACTTACTATCTACGCCTTAGATACTCGCTATACTATAACGGAGACCCGAGTTATTTATAGACTAAAGGGTAGATTATATAAGGCCTTAGGTCTTTTATAGCGCCCGTCGCTATAAAGGGCGACTATATATATATCGTGCTACCGACTAGAAGATTAACTAAATCGATTTTCGGCCCTTTATAATAATACTCGTGAAATTCTACTTAAAAACTTATAGTGGATAGCGTCCAGTAACCTAGAGATTAGAATAAGTAATATTCTAGAAGGCTATAACGATAACATCGGCAGCAGATATACTATTATAAATATTTTCTTATCTAAGAAAGTTAGGAGCCTCCGAGCGAATAGTATTAGTAAACCTAGGAGTTATCTGCTATATATTTA